AATTAGACAAGAAAAAGAAATTTAAAGCATCCAAATTGGAAAAGAAAACTTTATTTATATTTTTTTTTATCCTATATATAAAAAATCCTAGGGAATCAGTAGAAAGCTACTATAGAGCTTATAAACAAATTCATAAAAGTTGCCAGGTATAAGATCAACATATAAAAATCGTTTGTGTTTGTAGGTGGGCATTGTGGTACACACCTGCAATCCCAGCTGCTTTGTAGACTGAAGTTAGGGGATTGCTTGACCACAGGAATTTGAGAATAGCCTAGGCAACATATCAAGATTCAAAAAAAAGAAAAAAAAATTAGTTTTTAGTTTGTTTTTTTTTTTTATAAATAGCAATGTACAACCTAAAAAGGAAATCAAGATAGCAATCCCATTTAGAATAGCATTTAAAAGAAAGAATACCTAGGGATAAATTTAATCAAAAAGGTGAAAGACATATACACATTCTGTTTGTTAGAAATGAATCACTAAGTGTAGCCTACAACCAAGGGGAAGGGGAATTAAGCTTCACTTTTGAAATAGAGACTATCAGAATATTTGTTGAATGTATTTTAGTAAATACCACCATAACTTGAGAGTAGGATGAGTCATCTAGGATGCTGAAAACATTCTATCTTCATGTAGGTAGTGATAACACAAATGGAAAAAATTAAGTAATTTTCACTGAATTGTGTGTTTTAAGATTTATGGACTTTATATATGGGAACCTCAAGAAATTTTTGAGTTTTAGGATTATTGTACCCATACAATGCTATATTTAGATTTTTATTCTTAGTATCTGTATTTTCTTACTAATTAATGTCTCCTGGAAGTGATTCCGTAGGGGAAAATATCTCTTGCCTACATGGATGATAAGTAAAGGAAATTATATAGTATTTTGTAGCTCCTAATAATCTCCTCATGATCTTTGAAAACACACTTAAATCTTGAAACATGTAACTCTACTGAAATGGAATTTCTCTATCTAGAGGCTGTTGGAAGCTGTTTGGGAGAAGTTGGTCCTATAGATTTTTCTACCATAGCTATACAACATAGCAAAGATACATCTTATACCAAGGCCCTTGAGTTATTTGAAGATAAGGAACTTCAGTGGACATTAGTAGTGTTGATCTACCTGAATAATACATTGGTAGAAGAATGGTGAGTATTTCTGTATCTCTTACATCTGATCATACTGACTTAATCTGACATTAAAGTACACTTCATGTAAATTTTCATTTCCAATAACTAAGGCATTTAAATTCTTATGCTTTTGAAAAGTCTCATGTATTTCTTGAAAAGCATTGTATTTTTATTAATTTATATAATCATTGACCCTACTATGTACCAAGATCTTAATGCAGTGATCAAGATTCCAGATAAGAACTGTGTTAAATTCTACTGAGAGTGCATCAGGCAAACGGAGAAAGACCAGGTAGTTCCACAAAGACAATTAAAGTAGAAGAATTTAAAAGGTGACATTTCAAGCACTTGTCCAAATCAGAGGTGCTTCCATCTTTAGTCTGAGCTTCATTCTGGTCTTAGAGCAAAAGCTTCATAACCACTCAAATTTTACACTAATCAGACAAAATCTTTTGGTTTTCATTTTTTTTTAATATTCAGTTTTTAGTTGTAGTTTGACACAATATCTTTATTTATTTATTTTTATGTGGTGCTGAGGATTGAACTCAGGGCCTCGCACATGCTAGGTGAGCTCTCTACTGCAGAGCCACAACCCCAGCCCTTGTTTTTCATTTATTCTCTGTGCAAAACAGATTGCAAAATATTATGAATATTTCAGTTTATTGGTTATGAGACTAAACCCCTACCCCATTATTTATTCTTTGACTGATTTATTCCATCACCACCAGTTTGGGAGTTAAGTTAAAAAGATATTTCCTCCAAACAGACATTTTTCTGTGTTAAATGTGTTTTGATTTTGTTTCTCTACCTTTCTCCTCCTCATCCTGCCTGCTGTGTTTGTAGTATGGACTCAGTGGACTAATATTTTTCTTTTGTTATTTGTTTGCTTTAAATAGGCTGACATGGTTTCTTTCCCACATTTTATTATAAAAATGGTCAAACATACACCAAAGTTGAAAGAATTTTAAATACTCATATACTCACTTTATAAATTCTAACCATTCTTCTTGTTCATTTATTAATCCATGTCATTTTAAAAACGTTCCATACATAACTTTTGAAAGTATTTCTGGCACAGTTTTTGAAGGGAGATTTTTCTGTAGGAAATTTGTGAGTATCGATTTATTTGTTTTTCTGAAAAAGATTCATAGATATTAGCATGGCTTAATAGGAAACAGGTAAATGTTTTTTTTTTTTTGTCTTTCTATAGGAGGGGAAAAAAATATCATTAGTTGTTGAAGGGACTTTAGCATATACCTTGAATCCCAAAATAGCTGGTTCAGTAAGGTTTCTTTGAGGAAGTGCCATTGGATCTAATCTGAGGATCAGGAGTAAACAATAAGATAATTAAGGATAAAGCATCCAAACAGGTAATGCTAGAATACAGATAAGGTTGATCTATTTGAGGAACAGAAAGAAGCCTGGTATAGGGGAAGATGGTAGGAGATGAAATTAGAAAGGTGGGACTAACTCTAATTAAGAAATTTGAATTTTATTTCAAGTATATTAAGGAGTCATGGGTTTTTAGTAGAGTTGGGTCATAATTCAGCTTACATTTTTTACTCTGGTTTTTATATGTCAGATGGATTTCAAAGGCAAAATTGCAAACAGGAAAATCAATTATTACAGAAAAGAAATGATTACAGTAATGCATTGGAAAAATGATGATGATTTGGGTGTCATTAATGGAGATGAAAGACATGGATGGAACCAGGCTATGTTTTGAACATAGAGCCAGTGGGATTTACTGATGAATTGGATATGGAGAAATCAAGACAGAATTTAGGTCTTGGGTGTTTCCTATGGTGTGTGTGTGTGTGTGTGTGTGTGTGTGTGTGTGTGTTTTGTTTTGTTGCTCATTTGTTTTGTTCTCCTTGTTGAACTCAGAGACTGTGCTAGACAAACGTTCTCCCACTGAGCTTTACAGTTATAACTAGTAGTTGGACTTATCCAACTCAAACATGCGTGGAAATCTATTTCAGTTCATGATCCCCCCTTTTTCTTTCTTCCTTCCCTCCACTCTTTTCCTCTATTCTAATAGACTTTCTTTTACTTTTCTATTAATTTGTATTTGATTGGTTCTTTGTTACCTATCCTTCCCTTCTTTTCTTTATTTTACTACAGCTGCTGCGTATAAGAGAAAACATTTAGCCTTTGATTTTCTGAGTTTATTTAATTTCATTTGGCATGATATTCTCCATATCCATCTATTTACCAGCAAATGCCATAATTTCATTCTTTGTTATGACTGAGTAGGACTCCATTGTGTAGTTATACTACAATTTCTCAATCCATTTGTCTATTAATGGGCATCTGGATTGATTCCATAATTTAGCTGTTGTGAATTGTGCTGCTGTAAATATTGAGGTGGCTGTATCAATGTAGTATGCCAATTGTAGATTGTTTTAGAAAATACCAAGGAATAGGATAGCTGGGGCATATGGTGGTTCCATCTCTAGTTTTTTGAGGAATTGCCCATACTTTTTTCCACAGTAGTTGTACTAGTCTACATTCCTACCAGTGATGTGTACCTTTTCCCCTCAACCTCGCCAGCATTTACTGTTCTTTATATTCCAGATCATTGCCCTTCTGACAGAAAGGCAATGAAATATTACTGTGATTTTTTTTTCATTTGTTCTAATAACAGCAGAATGCATTTTGATTCATTGTACACAAATGGAGTACAACTTTTCATTTTTCTGGTTGTACATTACGTTAATCACACCATTTGTGTAATTATACATGTACCTAGGGTAATGATATTTGTCTCACTCCACCATCTTTCCCATGGCCCCTCTGTTCCTTCTGCTCAATCCAAAGTTCCTCCATTCTTCCCATGCCCCACTCCCATTTTGGATCAATATCCACTTTCCAGAGAAAACATTTAGCTTTTGCTTTTTTGGGCTTGGCTTACTTTTCTTAGCATGATATTCTCC